ACCAAACGAGGAGCCGCAGTGTTAGGCCTTATAAAAATGCCAAAAGGGACTGAAGGCAATCGTACTGTTTCTCTGCCTCGTAGAATTGCTGATACCTACGAAAGGGGGCAGAATTAATGACAGATTTAGAGACAGACATTTATAAGACTCCAAAACAAGTCACATTTTCAGTATCGCTATTCTTTGAGAAAGACAGTCTACAAAAGAACCCGCAGCAATGTTTTAAGCCTGACGCTAGATGATATTCTGGAAATGCTTATTTTATACAAAGCAACCAGACATGTCTGCGACTAGGTCGAGTCTTAAGTATCCAATGATGGAGATCAAAGCATCTGAATGATTTACATTCAGTCTGAAAAAATGGCGTCTTAAAACAGTGGCCTGATGCCTTTATGCCTTTAAGAAGACCTTTATATTCGCCGTGTTATGATTAGGGCAGGACATTTGAACGGAAGTAAATTTTCCGAGTAACGAATGGCTGCTTACACGTAATATGATTTGTGAGTCGTCCGTTTAACAATTTCAAAAGGCATAACAGATTTGTCTACTTTTTGTCTTCCCTTTACTTGCATACAGCCAAACTAGAGAAATGTGTACATCTGATTTATTCTGATTTCGACCGAGCCTGGGGTTTTGGCAAACTCCAATGAAAAATATTCCGTCTCGGCGCTTATTTTGCCGTCAATCTTTGAAAATATTGATAAACAAAATCGTACTCCAAAGAGCAGCTTAGTTCTAACACACAAGCGCCTACTGTGAGCGATAAGTAAAGTATCAAAGCGTCAGTATACAGCTGTGGCTTTGTCTTCTCGACGCAGTCGCCCGAAACGTGTTCTAGTTTCCCACGTCGAAGTTATATCTTATGGGCGGATTTTTATGGTGAAGTAAAAATTTGAGATTTAATTGTTACACCAAGAATGCACTTGTGGGTAATAATTGTGGTCTCCAGCGATATACGACTTAACTTGTGCTATTCGGTTTATTGTCCAGTGAATCACTGCAAAGGTTTGGTCTAAAGTTGTTACTTTTTAGACGGTCTACTGTGTAAACTAAAGGGTTGTCTGATATTCGCAAATAAAAGGGCACTTTTAGTGCCCTTTAGGAGAAACCCAATTTAATTGTGTTTTTTTTTAGTTTTTATAGCGTACTTACAGAGGTTGCTGGCTAGGCTCCAGATTGAGGTCCAATACACAACGGGACGAGCATGTTGCCTCACCAGATCAGTGAACGCTGTACTATCATTATTTAGTTTTGTTCTGTAGGAGGAAGCCAGTGTATGCTATTTAATTGATTATTTAACTTTTGTTGCTAACTTACAATTGCTTTCTTTTTATCTGTAGCCGCGCGTATGGTTACTGGGCGACGTACCAAAGAGGGGAACAGGAAAAACAAAACACTGACTTGCTAAAGTATCTGCGATTATAAGGAACCTCGGTGGTTTGCAGTAGTGCAAATAACGATAAGAGACGCGAAAACAAACATATCGTCAGTTGAACTGCATGAGTTTGTTAGAAGGCTACAAGTCAAGGCAAAATGGTGCTTCCGAACTCTATTCCATCGGGCAACAGCGACAATTTCCTCAAGAAAGAGATTGCTTACCTGTAGCGGTTGTTTCGATATCATGCATATCTGATCACTTTTCTAAATAACTATCTCCGGCATCAGAATCCCACAATCGCAAGCGCCCAATCCGAACGGATAAATTACCACATGGAAAGTCCAGTCTTTGCTATACATACGGAGAACTTTCGAAGTACTCGAAAAAGCAGTCTCCTCAGTACGCGCAGCGCTATTACATATAAAAAATTTCATCCCAAAATAACAAAAATCAAATGTGTTTTATCGCATACTGTGCGCAGATGGCTGTTGACCGCCTGTTAGTCACACAGCCTGACTTCTGGGCACCCGTATCAAGAAACATAAATTAGCTATCCTTCGCCGGGAGCCCCTGTTCCCTAGTCTTTGCGCACGCACTCGAGTGCGACCATAGATTAAATTGGCATGACACTAAACTCGTTGCCATGCCAACATAAAACGCTCGGTATTCTACTACCGGCAGTATCAACCGCCACGTTCACTCGGACGACCAACTCGACAGCTTAAGAGACCAATATACCGTCCGTTTTCTTAATCACACTCCAACGACCACTAGGTAGCAACCCTGACATCAACCGACCAACCATCTGCCATCTCCCACCGCACACAGAACGCCGTAGATATTCCACCCCACCCCGCTAAAAACAAACCGTGACTCACCCCCTCACACACCAGTGGTTTGGTTTTTGTATCGCCTTAAACTGCCTGGTGTAATTTTTTTAGCTTTATACTTCCCCTTATTTCGTCCGAGGACGGGTTGGTATCACTAGCTCGGAGATTATTAATTGCAACTTCCGAGTTTCTTCTTGCGTTTCCAGACATATTTCCGTTTGGAGTTAGTTTAGGCATGGGTAATGTAAATTAAAATATGCAATCTATCAGTACGTTCTGGCTACAACAAATTCAAATGAAAGAATGAGTAATATTATACATGTTGGAAAGTTACAGTACTTTACAAATATATTCAAATCAGAGTTCCTGCATCCATAAGCAAACATCAATGAGAAGTTGTCGCAAAAATTCCTTGTAAGTGGTTGGTCATGGAAGCCTGGTCCCGGCAAACAAGCTAGCTCTGGTCTCATATAACCTACTGTGAGCTATGCATTTCCGATATTATAAAAGAAAGCGGGCGAGTCTTCCAATATCCAACAGTTATTTCTCCTATTTTGTCGACATATTCCTCCCAGGCATCTTGTATATTATAACTAATAAGTACTAATAAGAAAATAAAAGTCTTGTTCCAGTGGTCGCACTTTTTATTCTGAACTGCTTCATGGAACTTGCATATTCACTTCTATTGGCAATTATTACTAATATTAGATTTTGCAATTCAAAGAGACATAAACTGCTAGGCTACTCTATTTAGGGTTAAAACATTGCGTTTTGTGCGCTCTTTAAGAGGCTTTGGTACCGACTCGATGCATTTTTGCAGTACGCAAATGCTTTTACTTAATTTGCGGACTTCAGCTATTTTCAAAGACTTTTTTCGCTTGAAGATAGGGTTCAATCCGGAAACGGTATAAGCATAAATTCGAAAAATAGAAATCCTTGACATGTTGATCTCATATAGGTGTTCCGTAAATGATAGGCTGTATCCGCTGGACTACATCGACCATATTCACCCAGGCGTTATTATAAGATCTCATCAACACCTTTTACAGATATATCATCGCAGCGCTGATAGTCATGTCTCGACAGAGAACACTGAAAAGAAAATAAATTATGGCAAAGTTCGCGCCTAAATCCTGAGAATTATTGACGATCTCACAAACCGCCAGGCGTTACTGCATTTGTAAAACGTGCTCCTTTATTCAAAGGCATTGCCTACTGCCCTAAATATAATGAACTATTACTGTGTATCGTCTCCTTGAAAGGTAATTTTTCTAGAACACTTTCCCCGGAAATAATTCCAAAAAATATTCTCGGGTGTGGTCTCGGAAATATGCATGAGAAATTTATCATTAATCAATCTTATCCATATCTGCTTCACCATGGATGGACCAGCTTAGCACCGTTTTTTACAGGAATTTTCTAAAAGAAGTTTTCTTGTGTTTGCTACAAACAAGCTGAAAATTGGGGATTTTGCTCTTGCCTCATGAAAGACCGCAAAACTTTGCCCGTGCTTTTAAAAGCGAAAGGCGGCACTGGCCCACCTGCATCGAAACTCTACATGCATAATTCACATCCAGCGCTGCTAACATTTTTGTTGGTCTGCTTTCTAGGTATTTCAAGTCACCTGAAAATGAAATCTGTTTCCATGGCACTACCATGAAGGTAATCGTCAAGATAACCGAACTTTACATACTTAACTTAAGTCAGTGGACAATAAATATATGAAGACAGACAAAATCGTTTCTCGTAACCAAACCTTACAACAGCAACCACTCATTAACCACCTGTTATTTATGCTTGCATAATGCGCTTTCGTTTAGGCTTCTTTGTGACATACATACCTACGTTGGCAATCTTTGAGTGCGCAAATGTCTACTACAACTGCGAGTTGGATAGGATGCTTTGAGAAGAATAAGGAAGGCGGCACGGTTATACTCTCGTTAAGAGTTTACGACCCACTTCGTAGATCCTGGGCGGCGATAACAAAAGGATAACGGTTTGCGTGATATATCTTAGAAAAATAACCTTTAGCTGCTAAAGAGGCACGTTCACTATCTGGGCATATATTTTTAATTTCCAAAGCAAGGGATAAGGGTTAATAATGGCTAATCCTCTGACTACAGTTACAAAGACAAGAACACAGAAGTAGTACGAGCTAAATCTGGTTAAGAAAACACCGCATATAAAAATTTTTAAAAGCTAAATTTAGCAGAGCAATTTATCTTGAGCAGGAAAAAAGTTGAGGGTGGTAAATATTTGTGGACATTGTTTAAACATATACCTTCACGTATATTTGCATCTGAAAACGAACACATTTGAAGCTCATATTTTCACCGAGAAGCCGTAAAAATGAATTATAATTTTAACTGAAAACCGTAGAAGACTTTTTTTCAATTTTTTAGGCTAAAAATGACGCAAAAAATAAGGTATTAACTCCTTATACACAGTGGCGTGGCTCGATTTTTCAATGTTGAGCTCACAAATTCTCGATGACTAGAGACTTCGGAATCGAATCCCGGTTCCTTCAATCAGGGAATTCCGTACGAGGTGGCCATCGCACTTTT